GAAAAGAAGAAAGAAAGAAAAGAAAGAAAGAAGAAAGAAAGAAAGAAAGAAGAAAGAAGAAAGAAAGAAAGAAAGAAAGAAAAGAAAGAAAGAAGAAAGAAAGAAGAAAGAAAAGAAAGAAAGAAAGAAAGAAAGAAAAAAAGAAGAAAGAAAGAAAGAAAAAGAAAGAAAGAAAGAAAGAAAGAAAGAAAGAAAGAGAAAAAAGAAGGAAGGAAGGAAAGAAATAGAATTTGTAAAAGGAGGCGGAGGAGCAAGGCCTTGCAAAGCCATGTGAAGGCCTTGGCCTCCGTCTGTCTGTGGATGCAGCCTCCAGACCAGCTCTGCGTGTTGACAAAACTCTCTCCAGTCGCCAAGGTGAGCTCCGTGACCCAAACAAAGGTGACCCGTGGCCGCTTCCCGCAGCCGGGCGGGGGGAGGGCCGAGGCTGCCCGGGCCTGCAGGGAGGGGGGGGCTGGCCTCCAGCCGGTGGACCTCTCGGACGTGGGGCGGGGCCGGGGCGGGGCGGGGCGGGGCCCGGGAGGGGAGGGTCAGCGCGGCGGCCGCAGGTGGAGGTGGACAGACTGACCGGGGCAGCCTCCCGGTTGTCGGCGCGGGGTCCGGCGGCTGCAGGGGCGGCGATGGGGCCGGAGTGGGACGCGCTGCGGGCGCTGGGGGCGGCGGCCGCCCTGTGCCTGCTGCTGCGGGCGGCGTGGGGCGCGGGCTGCGCGGTCTACGTGCACCTGCTGCCCCCGGTGCGCCGCGGGGCGCCCTGGCTCCGGGCGCACGGAGCCTGGGCAGGTGAGCGGCGGGGCCGGGGCGGGGGGTGGAGGGGGCCGCGGGGACGCAGGGACCAGGACGGATGACAGGTTCGGGCCCCCGTTCGGGCAGAGGCAGAGGGCAGTCCTGGAAGCAGGAGAAGTGAAGGCTGGGCCAGCCGGGGCGAGGGGGCAGGGAGTCCCCGGAACGGTCCGGTGAGGGGAGCAGGAGTGGGAGTCCAGGCGGATGGGGGTGAGGACGGGAGGGTGAGGGGCCGGGTCTCCGGGGAGGGGTGAGGCGGGGCTGGGCAGTGCAGGCCCCCTGCTGCTCACCCTCCTTCTCTCCGCTCAGTGGTGACCGGAGCCACCGGGGGCATCGGCCGCGCCTACGCGCACGAGGTGAGGCTGGGCTGGGAGTTTGGGGGGGAGGCGGGGAGGGGGTGCTCCCGCTGTGGGTTTACCTGTGGCCAGGGGCTCCTCCTGGACTGAGAACTGTGTGAGTGACCTGGCTCCCTCTGACGCTCTCTCCTTCCCGAAGCCTCCCCTCTCCTCCCCGCCTGGCTCAGGGGTTCACACTGGATGTCTGCAGGCTATAGGCACCCCCCACCATCGCCCGGGTTCATTCACTCCTTCAAAACATATTCATTGTCCTGGCTCGTGTGGCTCAGTGGATAGAGCATGGGACTGCGGACAGGAAGGTCCCAGGTTCAGTTCCAGTCAGGGGCGCATGCTGGGGTTGCAGGCTTGATCTCCAGTACGGGGTGTGCAGGAAGCAGAGGGTCAATGATTCTCTCTCATCATTGATCTTTCTATCTCTCCCTTCCTCTCTGGAATCAATAAGAATATATATATATATATATATATATATATATATATATATATATATATATATATATATATATTTATTTATTTTTTTAAATAAGAAGAGATATTCACTGACCACCTCTGGTGCCAGGCTGGGAGGAAAGCAGTGAACAAAATAGATTTAAAACATGCAAAGACCTTGCCCTCACGGAGTTAACGTTCACTAGAGTGAGGGGCCGGGTGTGAAGAAAAGGAAAATACGTGACATGTAGGGTGTGGAATGGCTGTCAGGGTGAAGGAGAAAAAACAAGCCATGAAAGGAGAACAAGGAGGCCTGGGGGTGTGGGCCCGTGTTCACACAGGTGCTCCGGAGACGGTGTCGCTGAGAAGGCAACAGCGAGAAAGGACCTGATGGAGGTGCGGGTCCCGCGGATAACGGAGGAGGGGCCTCTGGGGAGAAGGAGTAGCCAGTGCCAAGGCCCTGGGGCAGGGAGCACGGTTACTGAGCCAGGGAGCTCCCGACACTGTTCGGATGGCCAAACATCGGACACTGACCTGTGCAGGGGGGACGTTAAACCAGTTTACTGCAGGGCATCCCGGCAGGAGAACGAGGAGCGATCACTCAGAACCCAGACTCCCTGATGGTTTTTCATCAAGGATTTTATATACATATACATATACATACATACATATATATATATACATACATATATATATAATTTATTATATTTATATATATATATAAATTGATTATATAAATTTTATTTCACGGAGGAAGGGAAGGGAGAGATGGAAATATCAATCATGAGAGAAAATCTTTGATCAGCAGCCTCCTGTACGCCCCCTACTGGGGATGGAGCCCGAAGCTCGGGCACGTGCCCTGACCGGAATGGAACCGTGACCTCCTGGTTCATCTGTCGATGCTCAACCCCTGGGCCACACTAGCCAGGCCCTCAAGGGTATTAAAAGGCCAAGATGGAGGGTTAGGGGTCAGGGGCAAAGCTGATTGATTAGTTTCTGTGCAAACTTCAGTGGTTTCCTTCAGCCCCATGAATTTAGTTCCTGAGGGCACCTTGTATGGTGTCTTTGTCCCTGTGCTTGGTGGAAGAACCAAGACTCTGCAAGATACCAGTGATGTTATCTTTAAAGCAAAAGGCAGAAACTACGCTAACCATCTTGTGACCAGCATCATGGCTTGAGCAATCGTTGCTTTGGGCGTAGCTAGCAGCATTTTCTATTATTTAAGCAAAGAGTTCTTCTAAGCACATTTTTCCGAAAATTGTTTACAGGCAGGCCCCTGGGGCATGACTGGCATAATGTTATTAACCCTCCATGGCAAGCTGCCTGACACCAAAGCACTGAATCCTGCCGTAAAAGCCTACCCCGTGCCACAAAACTCTACGATCCAATGCCTAATGTGCTGACTGTCTGACTGTCGGTTTCAGCATTTGCCTGTTGGAGAAGAAGCAGGCGGGTGACCACTGTGATTTTGTCAGAGGAAGAGGGAGAGGGGAGGGAGGGAGGGGGAGGGGAGAGGGAGAGGGAGGGGGAGAGGGAGAGAGAGAGAGAGAGGGAAAGGGAGAGGGAGAGGGAGAGGGAGAAGGAGAGGGAGAGGGAGAGGGAGAGGGAGAGGGAGAGGGAGAGGAAGAGGGAGAGGGAGAGGGAGAGGAAGAGGGAGAGGGGGGAGAGGGGGGAGGGGGAGGGGAAGGGAGAGGGAGAGGAGAGGGGGAGGGGGAGGGGTAGGGGGAGGGGGAGGGAGAGGGGGAGGGAGAGGGAGAGAGGGGGAGGGGGTGAGGTGACGGAGAGGGAGAGGAAGCAGGCGGGGAGGGGGAGGGGGAGGGGGGGCGGGGGCGTGAGAGGGAGAGGGAACGAGGGAGAGGGCAGGGGAGAGTGGGAAAGGAACGGGGAGAGGGAGAGGGAAGAGGGAGGGGGGAGGGGATGGGAGAGGGAGAGGGAGAGGGAGAGGGGGAGGGGAGGGGAGGAGGGGAGAGGAAGAGGGAGAGAGAGGAAGAGGGAGAGGGAGAGGGAGAGGGAGAGGGAGGAGAGGAGAGGAAGAGGGAGAGAGAGGGAGAGGAAGAGGGAGAGGAGAGGGAGAGGGGAGAGGAAGAGGGGAGGGGGAGGGGGAGGGGGAGGGAGAGGGAGAGGAAGAGGGGGAGGGGGAGGGGGAGGGGGAGGGAGAGGAAGAGGGAGAGGAGAGGGAGAGGAGAGGAGAGGGAAAGGGGAGGGGGAGGGGAGGGAGAGGGAGAGGAAGAGGGAGAGGGAGAGGGAGAGGGAGAGGGGGAGGGGGGAGGGGGAGGGGAGGGGGAGGGAGAGGGAGAGGGAGGGAGAGAGGGGGAGGGGGGGAGGGGGAGGGAGAGGGAGGAGGAAGAGGGAGAGGGAGAGGGAGAGGGGGGAGGAGGAGGGGAGGAGGAGGGGGAGGGGGAGGGAGAGGGAGAGGGAGGAGAGAGGGGAGGGGAGGGAGGGGAGAGGGGGAGGGAGGGAGAGAGGGAGGGAGGGAGAGGGAGGAGAGGGGGAGGGAGAGGGAGGGGGAGGGGGAGGAGAATGAGAGGGAGAGGGAGCAGGGAGAGGAAGAGGGGGAGGGAGAGGGAGAGGGACAAGGAGAGGGACAAGGAGAGGGACAGGGAGAAGGGAGCAGTAGGAGAAGAGGACAGAGATGCAGTTCCAGGAGAATCAGGGGGAATCTGGTGGGTTAATTTGGGGACATTGATATTTATTGAAACGGGAGGGTTCTGAGCAGAAGAGGGATATGATGGTATAGGAGGAGAAGCGAACGCAAGGACCTCTGTTAAGAGACTTAAAAAAAATTCAAGCGAGCCAAACCAGTTTGGTTCAGTCGATAGAGCCTCCTTTTGGGGACTGAAGGGTCCCAAGTTGGATTCCGGTCAGAGCATGTACCTTGGTTGCGGGCACATCCCTGATAGGGGGTGTGCAGGGCAGCTGGTCGATGATTCTCTCTCATTGATGTTTCTAGCTCTCTATCCCTCTCCCTTCCTCTCTGTAAAAAAATCAAGAAAATATATTTTAAAATAAATGAATAAATAAATATTTTATTGATTTTTTACAGAGAGGAAGGGAGAGGGGTAGAGAGCTAGAAACATCAATGAGAGAGAATCATCGACCAGCTGCCTCCGGCACACCCCCCACCGGGGATGTGCCCGCAGGCAATATACATGCCCTTGACCGGAATGAAACGTGGAACCCCCCAGTCCGCAGACAGACGTTCTATCCACTGAGCCATACCAGTTGTGGCGAAAGCCCGTCTTTATTGGGGCATTCGAGGCTCCATGAGCTGGTCCCTTGCCCGCCGCACTGAGCTACCATACCACCGGTCCCTTCTCCCGGTGCCCGCAGCCGGCTCCGTGCTGTCCTCTGGCTGCCAGCCTTGGTGCCAGGGCCTCTGCGCTAGCTGCTCCGCCTGCCTGGTTGCTCTTTCCCCACAAGGCATGGTCCTTGCGGCAGGTTTTGGTTTCCTCTTTTGTTCACCTCCGTTGTCAGCCACAGTGCTGACAACGCTGTGCAGCTCACAGCCAGCGCACAGGGCAGAGTCATAATCTCTATAAATAAAAGGCTAATATGCAGTGTCCCCTAGGGCATTCCATCAGAAGGGGAGTTGGATTGCTCGCTATGACGTGTGCTGACCACCAGGGGGTGGTGCGGCCCATGGTGGGCACCGGCGGGGGCGGGGGGGGGGGGCAACGGCGGTGCACAGTGGAGGCCTGCGGGTGCCTAGGGAGGGAAGAGGTGGGAGTGGGGAGGCGGGGGACCTGATGGGCCCTGATTGCTAGCCAGGCCTAGGGATCCTACCGATATGGTGCGCTGGGCCTCTAGTTAACGGATAAACGATTAAATCCCACCCCCAGCTCGCCCGGAGAGGCCTGAACATCGTCCTCATCAGTCGCAACCTGAGCAAGCTGGAGCAAGAGGCGAAGGAGATAGGTGACAGCCGCAGGGGTGGAGGTGGGGGAGGTGGGGAGGCAGGAGGAGGTGGAGGGGGAGGCGGGAGAGGTGGGGGAGGTGGTGGTGGAAGTGGAGGTGGAGGTGGAGGTGGTGGAGGCGGGGGAGGTGATGGTGGTGATGGTGGTGATGAAGGTGGGGGAGGTGGGGGAGGCAGGAGGAGGTGGAGGGGGAGGTGGGAGAGGTGGGGGAGGTGGGGGAGGTGGAAGTGGAGGTGGAGGTGGAGGTGGTGATGGAGGTGGTGGTGGTGGTGGAGGTGGAGGTGGTGGAGGCGGGGGAGGTGATGGTGGTGATGGTGGTGATGAAGGTGGGGGAGGCAGGAGGAGGTGGAGGGGGAGGTGGGAGAGGTGGGGGAGGTGGGGGAGGTGGAAGTGGAGGTGGAGGTGGAGGTGGTGATGGAGGTGGTGGTGGTGGTGGAGGTGGAGGTGGTGGAGGCGGGGGAGGTGATGGTGGTGATGGTGGTGATGAAGGTGGGGGAGGTGGGGGAGGCAGGAGGAGGTGGAAGTGGAGGTGGAGGTGGAGGTGGTGATGGAGGTGGAGGTGGTGGTGGAGGTGGAGGTGGTGGAGGCGGGGGAGGTGATGGTGGTGATGGTGGTGATGAAGGTGGGGGAGGTGGGGGAGGCAGGAGGAGGTGGAGGGGGAGGTGGGAGAGGTGGGGGAGGTGGGGGAGGTGGAGGTGGAGGTGGTGATGGAGGTGGTGGAGGTGATGGAGCTAGTGGAAGTGGGGGAGGTGATGGAGGCGGGGGAGGTGGGGAAGGTGGGGGAGGTGGTGGAGGTGATGGAGGTAGTGGAAGTGGTGGTGGTGATGGAGGTGGGGGAGGCGGGGGAAATGGGGGAGGTGATAGAGCTGATGGAGGTGGTGGAGGTGGAGGTGATGGAGGTGATGAAGGTGGGGGAGGTGGGGGAGGTGGGGAGGTGGTAGAGGTGATGGAGATGATGGAGATGATGGAGGTGGTGGAAGTGGGGGAGGTGATGGAGGCGGGGGAGGGTGGTCTTAGGCTGGGAAAGTTGGGAACAGGGCCCGGGACTGGAGGAGGGCGTGGCCAGGGGCGTGGCCAGGCGGGCGGGGCGGGGCTTCAGCTGCATCCGCGCCCAGGGAAGGGAGGATGGAGCGGGGGCTGGGGCTGCACCCCGCGGACAGGGTGGGGCAGCATTGGCATGGGTTCCAGCTCCGGCCTGGCTCCCTCGGCCTCTCCCCAGAGCGGCTGCACGGCAGGCTCACTCGAGTCATCCAGGCGGACTTCACCGGCGGCCTGGAGATCTACGAGGCGGTGAAGGCGGGACTGGAGGACCTGGAGGTCGGAGTCCTGGGTAAGCCCAGGCCCTCCGCGCCCCAGGCCCACCCTGACCGGAGCCGCTGTGCTCGCCCTTCCCTGCCCCCGCCGGGCTCCTGGGCCGCTGCAGACACTGACAGCTTTTGTCTCCTCCCGCTCAGTGAACAACGTGGGCACCTTGTACCAAAAGGCCATGGCGAGGCTGCTGGACTGCGAGGACGTGGCCAAGGTGAGGGAGCCAGGCCTCCTCTCACACTGTGCTCCCTCTGGGGAAGCAGCAGCCTGCGGGGTTGGGGGAGGCTTCTGTCGGAACATCGTTTTCTAAGCTGCGCGCCTCTGATGGGTAGGACGCCATGGGGGCGCCCTCCGCACTGCCCCCCCTCCCCAGCACCGGTGTCCAGGCTCGCTGACTCTGTCTGCCCCTCTCCCTCCTCTGGCGCTAACTTTAGGGGGGGATGGCCCTCATGGGAAAACCAGGGCCTGCCCCTGAGAGTCTGTGGTTTTCTAAACTCTCCGTTACAATCCTTCTTGAATCCTACGGCTTCTTTTTCTTTCTTCCATTTTTTATTTAAATTTTTTTTCTCCAGTTGGAAGAGAGAGATAGAAATATCAGTGAAAGAGAATAAATTGCTTGGCTGCCTCCTGCACGCCCCCTACTGGGGATCGAGCCCACAACCTGGGCATGTGCCCTTGACTGGAATTGAGCCCAGGATCCTTGGCTCTACCCACTGAGCCAAACCAGTGAGGGCAACACTGTATTTATTTAGTCGTTCCTCCAGCCATGAGCATTCGGGAGGTGTTCTATTATGGGTGACTACCGATAGTGTTACGGACAATATCTTTCTACTGAATTCATTCCCCACATGTGTGAGTATCTTGGAAAGGAGTAAATGTCTGGAAGTGGTGTTGATGAGTCAAAGAGTATGCACATCATAAATTCTGTTCAATCTTAAAAGAGAGTAAGCGAGGGCTGTCAAATTACAGCGGGGAGGGGAGGGAGATCTGGGGGAGATAAGAGATCAACCGAAGGACTTGTATACATGCGTATAAGCAAAACCAATGGACGCAAAACTCTGGGGAGGGGGGCATGTATGGGAGGGGGGATTGGTAAGGTATGTACACAGATAATAACTTAATAAAAAGAAAGTGAGCTTGGAAATAAGAAAAGGCGGGGGTTGAGGAGGTGGTGGAGGGGGGACCATGGTTCTGTTCCTTCCCCAGAGGCTCTCTGATGTCATCAACTGCAACATCATGTCTGTGGCCCAGGTAAGCCTGGGCTGGGAGGGGCTAAGGCCAAGGTCAGCACAGCTCTGACCACTCTGGGTGGTCCCCCTACAGCCGGCCCGCAGAGAAGGTGCTGGGGGAATAGTCCCCAGGGGAAGGTGGGGGTGGGTGGGAGGGAACTCGAGGGGGAGGGCAGGTGAAAGGACTGGAAAACGGGGCCCTCCCCACTCTTCTCTGCAGATGACCGCAATTGTCCTGCCCCGAATGGTCTCCAGGTAAGAGGCAGTCAGCCCTTCTCTCCCTCTGGCTCCTCCTCTTCCATCCAGCCTCCAGGTTTCCCCCTGGCCCAGCTGTCCCGGCTGCGTTTCCCTCTCACATTTCTCAGAGCAGGTCCTGGCTCAGAGGTGGAGGTGGGGGAGTCACCTTTCCACCAATACTTCCTCCTCCAGGCGCAAAGGGATCGTCATTAACATCTCCTCCTTCCTGGACCAGAAGCCCTGTCCGCTGCTGTCGGCCTACGCCGCGTCCAAGGTACCCGGGGTGTGTGTGTGTGTGTGTGTGTGTGTGTGTGTGTGAGAGAGAGAGAGAGACACTGGCCCCAGCCCAACAGAGATAGTTTCTGTTTGTTTGTTTGTTTTTTAATAAGCATAGAAAGTTGTGTGTTTAAAAAAAAACATATTTTATTGAGTTTTTACAGAGAGGAAGGGAGAGAGAGAGAGTTAGAAACATGAGCTGCCTCCTGCACACCCCCCACTGGGGCTGTGGCCGCAACCAATGTACATGCCCTTGATGGGAATCGAACCTGAGACCTTTCAGTCCGCAGGCCGATGATCCATCCACTGAGCCAAACCGGTCCCGGCTGTTTGTTTGTTTTTAAGAGAAACGGAGGCTTGGGGAAGGGGGAACGTGAGGTGGAGTGAGATGGGGACCGGCGGGTGGAACAGAGGAGGGGAGTACGGGGAGGGGGGGAGGTTCAGAACGCCGGGAGCATTCGGGGGTTCAGGTGAGGACTTGGGGGCGGGGACGGGAGTTTGGGGGCTCTCCGGTGCCATCCGGGGATCTAGGAGCAGGGTCGGCGCGGGGCCAGGACGGGCTGGAGGAGTCTGCACGCGGAGGCTCAGAGCCTGGGTCCTCCCTCTCCTTCCTCGCAGGCCTTCGTGCGGAGCTTCTCGCAGGCCGTGGGCGCGGAGTACCGCTCCCGGGGAGTCCTCGTGCAGGTGCCTGGCTCCGCGGGGACCGGACCGGTGGCAGCTCCGGGGGCCCGGGGCTCCGGCGGGGGAGGAGCTCAGCGACCGTGGACGCTCACGGGGCGGGGCAGGGGCTGTCAATCAAGAGGGGCCTCCCCAGCGGAGGGTTGTTGCGGGGGCGTGGCCTCTGTGGGCGTGGCCTTGAGGGCGTGGCCTGGAGGGCGGGCTGTCTGAGTCCCCAGTAGGAGAGCAGCAAGTTGGGTGGGACTCTAGGATTTTCTTTTTTCCTTTAAAAAAAAAAAAATAAAAAAAATATATATATATATATATATATATATATATATATATATATATATATATATTATTTATTTGTATTTACTTTAAAAATTTAAAGTAGAGGATAGCATTTATTTTATTTTTCTTTTATATATATTTAAAAACATATTTTATTGATTTTTTACAGAGAGGAAGAGAGAGGGATAGAGAGTGAGAAACATCGATGAGAGAGAATCATTGATTAGCCGCCTCCTGCACAACCAAGGTACATGCCCTTGACCAGAATCGAACCTGGGACCTTTCAGCCTGCAGATCGACACTCTATCCACTGAGCCAAATCGGTTTGGGCTCTTTTATATATATTTTTTTATTGATTTCAGAGAGGAAGGAAGAGGAAGAGAGAGAGCTAGAAACATCAATGATGAGCAAGAATCATTGATCGGCTGCCTCCTGCACGCCCCCTCCTGGGGATCGAGCCCGCAACCTGGGACCCATCAGGCTGCAGACTGAAGCTCTATCCACCGAGCCAAACCAGCTAGGGCGGGACCCTGGGATTTTCAGAGGGCCTGGGGGCTAGCTAGGGTGAGGGGAGTTCCCCCCTTCCTTAGCTCCTTCCTTCCTGCAGACCGTGAGCCCCGTCATGATCGAGTCCAATATGACCAGTGAGGTAAAGTACCGGACTCTGGTTCTGAATCCCGTGGACTTCGCTCGGCAGGCGCTGGACACCCTCGGCCTCACCTCCCAAACCTCTGGATGCTTCAGCCAAGCTGTGCAGGTGCGCTGGTGGTGGGAGAGCTGGAAGGGCCGCTCCCTGGCCCCGGCCACTAGTCCCTCTGAAGGGAGGACACGTCCGGAGGAGGGGAGAGCCCCCCACCCCCTTGGGCTGGGAAGACAGGAGGAGAGACTGGGGGGCGGGGGGGGGCACGTGTGGGTGTATCCTGATTCCTGGTACCTCTTCTTCCCAGGATGCCCTGCTGGCTCTCCTCCTGCCCAGCTGGTTTTGTCTCAGTCGCTGGGGACCAAAGGTTTTGCTTCTGTTGAACAAAGCCGTCACCAAGGCACAGCCCTCCCATAACAGGCCTTGAAGACGTGCGGCCGCCTCCCTCCCAGCCCAGGGCTGTGATGTCAGCAAAGGCCCCCGCCCGTGGGGGTGGGTGGGATGTGTATACTGAGTGGCCAGACTATGGTGATCGCTGAACACTCTGGCCACTCCATGTGTGTGAGTGTGTGTGTGTGTGTGTACACTAGTAGCATATGTGTGTGTGTGTAGTGTGTGTGTGTGTACACTAGTAGCCTGTGTGTGTGTGTACATTAGTAGCCTGTGTGTGTGTGTACATTAGTAGCCTCTGTGTGTGTGTGTGTGTACACTAGTAGCCTGTATGTGTGTGTGTGTGTGTACATTAGTAGCCTGTATGTGTGTGTGTGTGTGTGTACACTAGTAGCCTATGTGTGTGTGTGTACACTAGTAGCCTGTGTGTGTGTGTGTGTACACTAGTAGCCTGTGTGTGTGTGTGTACATTAGTGGCCTGTGTGTGTGTGTGTGTGTGTGTGTGCACTAGTAGCCTGGCCCATGGATTCGTGCACATGGAAAGGAAATTAGAATATTTTAATATCGCTATTTGTCCTTTCTCTATAATAGAAGTGTCAACCAAATTCACGATCGACAATGACAGAAATATATGCATATGATTGACGCCAGTGAGAGCTTTATATGGATCACGAATGCCTGAGTCAACTTAGCCATATATAAATAAATGTATATATACCACTGATTTTCAATATTTTTTTATCTCATGGCACACAAATCTAATTACTAAATTTCTGTAGCACATCAAAATATATTTTTGCCAATCTGATTTAAAAAAACAACAACAAAAACTAGGCACAATTTTGATTCATTCATACTAAACAGCTATTGCTGTATTGGCTGTTGTCATTTTTTTCTTTGACAATCAAAGGGAAAAGAGGTCAGTGCCCCTGACTATATAGTTAGGCATTCCATATTTTAAAAACTCTTGTGGCACCCTGACCGCTTTGGCTCCGTGGCTAGAGGGTCACAAATTTGATTCCAGTCAGGGGCATGTACCTTGGTTGTGGGCACATTCCCAATAGGGAGTGTGCAGGAGGCAGCTGGTGGATGTTTCTCTCTCATCAATGTTTCTAACTCTCTATTCCTCCCCCTTCCTCTCTGTAAAAAAATCAATAAAATATATATTTTTTAAATGAAAATTATTGCAACACACAGGTTGAAAATCGCTGATATATACATAGATGTGTATATATAAATTATGGTAGCAGTGATGGTCACAAAACTTTGTGAATACTCAGAAACCTGAACTGTACACACTTAAAAGCTGAACTTTATGGTATGTGAACTATATCTCAATAAAAACAATTTTAAAAATAGAGATCCCTCAAGCATGTGTGTGTGTGTGTGTGTGTGTGTGTGTGTATAAATCGATTCCATTGCTCACACCAAGCACCTGCATAAATGAACCAGAAACCTCCATGTAATAATGGCAGCACCACTAGAATAATACATGAATGAATTCCTTTCCATTTGGGGAGTGATAGAATCTTTCTATTTAATTCAGAAAGTTAAAAGGGACAACAGAAAGAATCATATTGATCTGTAGTTAGTGAAATGTGGGATTTAAGGAGGATGTAATGATGCCTGCAATTTACTTTGGAATGCATTGAAAATGCACTAGATGAGTTAATAGATAGAGGGATGGATAGAGTGGATAGAAATATGACAAGACAAGTATATTAATAATAGCCTGGCTGGTGTGGCTAAGTGGTTAAGTGTTGACCCATGAACCAAGAAGTGCCTCGTTCGATTTCCGGTCAGGGCACCTGCCTGGGTTCAGGCTCAGGCCTCGGTAGGGGACGTGCAGGAGGCAGCCGATCAGTGATGTTTCTCTCTCATTGATGTTTCCATCTCTCTGCCTTCCCCTCTCTAAAAAAACAAAACAATCAACAAAATCATATTTTTTAAAATGGTGATAATAGAGTCTAAGATGCCCTCAGCTGTCTGGCAACAAGCAATCATTTGATGCATCATTTTCAGGTTTGGGGAAATGCCCTCAGCCATCTCCAGATGATTTAGCCCTGCTGACGTGCTGGCACTGGCTCCCGCAGGAGGGAGTGTGAGGGGGAGAGAGAAACATAAATGTAAAAGAGACGCATTGACCAGTTGCCTCCTGTCCGTGCCCAACCAGAAATCAAACCACAGCCTCGTACATGCCCTCGGCCAGAAACAGCCTGAGGCCCTTTGGTTCTCATGCTCCAACCACTGAGCACACCGGCCAGGGCGGAAATGTTTTCTTCACAGCTAGACATAATGTTCCGGAGAAAAGGAGCTGACCGGGCTTTCAGTACTGTGGTGGTGAGGTGTGTGTGTGCGTGTGTGTGTGTTTGTGTGTGTGCGTGTGTTTGTGTGTGTGCGTGTGTGCGTGTGTGAAGAGTCTATGCTGAGGCCTCCGTGTTTAGTGAGCTCATGCTTTTGCCTCGAGTCCAGACGTCACAAGAGCTTTATTTCCGCTCCCTCCTCAGTGGGAGCGGCTGGCTAGAGCGGGTGGAGCGGGTACTTCCCTCCCCCGGGCCAGTCAGGGCCGAGGCCGAGGGCGGCAAACTCCTCAGTCAGCGGGGCCACACACCAGCAGGACCACGACTGAAATTTCTTTTGAGAGCCAAGTGTTTGTTTGTTTTTAACTTAAACTTCTAAGGCCACTTCTTCAGAACAGACTCAGCCCGGCGTGGCATTGTGTGGAAGAGCCAGACTCCAGGGCCAGAGAGCCGCATGGCTCGGGCGCAGAGTTAGCTGGCGGTCCTGCCCCGCGAGGCCCCCACACAGGTTAACGGGCCTTGGCCTGCTCCCCCTCCCAGAACTCAGGGCTGCTGACCACCCTGGGAACCCACGGAGCTCCTGGGGCGCGTTTTACTAACGCGCGCGTGTGTGTGTGTGTGTGTGTGTGTGTGTGTGTGGTGTGTGTGAGTGTGTGTGGTGTGTGTGTGTGGTGTGTGTGTGTGTGTGTAGTATGTGGTGTGTGTGGTGTGTGTGTGTGGTATGGTGTGGTGTGGTGTGGTGTGGTATGGTGTTTGTGGTGTGTGTGGTGTGGTGTGTGTGGTTTGGGTGTGTGTGTGGTGTGTGTGTCTGTGTGGGGTGTGTGGTGTGTGTGTGTGGTGTGTGTGTGTGTGTGGTGGTGTGTGTGGGTGTGTGTGTGGTGTGGATGGTGTGTGTGGTGTGTGTGGTGTGGTGTATGTGGTGTGTGTGGTGCTGTGTGGTATGTGTGTGGTGTGGTGTGTGTGTGTGTGTGTGTGTGGTGTGTGGTGTGTGGTGTGTGTGTGTGTGTGGTGTGGTGGGACATGTGTCTGTGTGGGGTGTGTGTGTGTGTGTGTGTGGTGTGTTGTGTGTGGTTGTGTGTGTGTGTGTGGTGTGTGTCTGTGGTGTGTGTGGGTGTGGTGTGTTGTGTGTGTGGTGAGTGTGTGGTGTGTGTGTGTGTGTGCGTGTGGTGTGTCTGTATGTTTGTGTAGTGTGTGGTGTGTGTGGTGTGTGTGTGTGGTGTGTGTGTGGAGTGTGTGGTGTGTGTGTGTGGTGCTATGTGGTGTGTGTGTGGTGTATGTGGTGTGTGTGTGTGTGGTGTGTGTGGTGTGTGTGTGTGGTGTGTGGTGTGAGTGTGTAGTGTGTGTCTGTGTGTGGTGTGTGTGTGGTGTGAGTGTGTGTCTGTGATGTGTGTGGTGTGTGAGTGTGTGGGGTGAGTGTGGTGTGTGTGTGGTGTGAGTGTGTGTGTGGTGTGTGTGTGGTGTGTGTGTGGTGTGAGTGTGTGTCTGTGATGTGTGTGGTGTGTGTGTGGTGTGAGTGTGTGTCTGTGATGTGTGTGGTGTGTGTGTGGTGTGTGTGTGGTGTGAGTGTGTGTCTGTGATGTGTGTGGTGTGTGTGTGGTGTGTGTGTGGTGTGAGTGTGTGTCTGTGATGTGTGTGGTGTGTGTGAGTGTGGTGTGTGTGTCTGTGTGTGTAGTGTGTGGTGTGTGTGTGGTGTGTGTGTGGTGTGTGTGTGTGGTGTGTGTGTGTGGTGTGTGTGGTGTGTGTGTGTGGTGTGTGTGCTGTGTGTGTGTGTGGTGTGTCTGTGTGTGTGTGTGTGTGTGTGGTGTGTGTGGTGTCTGTGGTGTGTATGTCTGTGGTGTGTGTGTGTGGTGTGTGTGTGTGGTGTGTCTGTGGTGTGTGTGTGTGTGTGTGTGTGTGGTGTGTGTGTGTGGTGTGTGCTGTGTGTGTGTGTGGTGTGTGTGCTGTGTGTGTGTGTGGTGTGTGTGCTGTGTGTGTGTGTGGGGGGTGTGGTGTGTGTGTGTGTGGTGTGTGTGCTGTGTGTGTGTGTGGGGGGTGTGGTGTGTGTGTGTGTGGTGTGTGTGCTGTGTGTGTGTGTGGGGGGTGTGGTGTGTGTGTGTGTTCCTCCTGTGCTGGGACCCGCTGGCCCGGTAGCCGGCGGAGCTGGCCGCGCAGGGGCCCAGCGCGCTGTCAGTGCGGGCCTGGCTCTCCTGCCGCTGGGTCTGGTCCGCAGGCGTTTCTGCTCCGGGGCTTATTCTCCGCAGGGCACGGCCGCGTCCTCCGCTCTCGCAGTCTGTGTCTGTCTGTCTGTGCAGCTTTTTATTATTGTTGTTGTTGTTGTTGATCTCAGAGAGAAGGGGGAGGCAGAGAGAGAGAAGCATCAACGATGAGAGAATCACTGATCGGCTGTCTCCTGCTCGCCCCCTACTGGGGACCAAGCCGCAATCCACTGCCAACCGGCCAGGGCTGTCCAGCTCTAAACTCTAAACTCGTGAGGACTGGGTGGCGATTTCCAAGCTCCTTACGTGTGAAACTGGAATCCAGAAGCCACCTAAGAGGGTCACGTACGCGTGACGAGAATGTACACTTTGCCATTGTTGACTGTGATGTTTTATGTATTCGAATGTTCAAGTGGATTTTTTAAAGTTTTATTGGTTTTAAAAAGAGAGGAAGGGAGAGAGAGATATTGATCGGTCATTCCACTTATTTATGCATTCACTGGTTGATTCTTGTATGTGCCCTGACCAGGGATTGAACCCACAAGCTTGGCGTGTCCGGGCAACGCTCTACCCACTGAGCTCCCGGCCAGGGCGTGAGAACCTGCTTTTCATTGTTTTGGGTCCATTACCTAGAAGTGGAATTGCTGGGTCGTGTAGTCATTCCATGTTTCTGTACTGTTTCCCACAGTGGTTTACCGTTTACATGTCCACTGGCAGTGCAAAGGGTTCCAGTTTCTTCACATCCTTGCCAGCACTTGTTATTTTGCTTTGTGTTA